CCCCAAAACCCCAAAACCCCAAAACCCCAAAACCCCAAAACCCCGTATAAACAAAATAAGTGGATGAAATGAGTTTTAAATTTTGATAATATAGATTGCTAGTATAATTTGAATAAAAACAGCACAGGATTTTATTTATTGTTAATCCTTGAATTATCTCAAGCCACTCTTAACTCTTAAGAACCTTATTATACTTAACGAAGAAAACAGAGTGCAGCCAGCTTCATTTCTAAGCACAGGAAAGGGAGTATTAGTCTTGGAAAATCAGTTGCTTTTTTTTTGAAAGAATCTAGAAAATATAGTGTAATAATGCAGAAATCGGTCCAAAGCCTTATGCTATTAAAGCCTTAGTAATTAATAATTTAATAATACAATAGATAATCAGAGATATGAGATAAATCGGTGATTATATACTCTTAAATGAAATTGGAAGCGGTATGTTTTCTTCAGTTTATAAATGCAAGCATCTTGGAACTGATTAGTTATTTGCATGCAAAATATTTAAGAGGGATAAGATGTCTCGCAAATCATGGAAAAATTTGCATGACGAAATTTAAATACTAGGAAATTTACAAAGTCCTTTTATCATAAAGCTTATTGATAAATTCAAAACTAAGAGACATTTTTATCTGATACTAGAGTATTGTAATGGAGGGGATTTAGAAAGTTATTTAGAGAAAAAGTTAGTCTTAAATGAATCTGAAATCCGTATCATATTCTCACAAGTACTTTTAGCGATGTAAGAGATGAATAGAATAAGAGCGATTCATCGAGATATTAAGAATGCCAATATTTTACTACACTTTAGGAGTGATTACGAAGAAAAGCTTAATAAATATCACTAAAAGGAATTGACTAAGGATATATTAGAGGTGAAATTAGCTGACTTTGGATTTTCAACTATACTAGGACCTAATGAAATGACTAGAACTTAATGTGGGACTCCATTAAATATGGCACCTGAAGTTTTAAACGGAAAATTTTACAATTATAAAGTAGATATGTGGAGTCTAGGAGTCTCCATGTTTGAAGCATTATTGGGTTCGCCTCCATTCTTTGGCAAAGATAGGGAAGAGCTTACTGATAACATCAACTTAGGACTGATACGCCTCTAGAACAACCTAGACATCAGTAGCAGCTGTATAGATTTCCTCAGCAAATGTCTTCATTATGATCCTCTAATGCGTATATCTATTGATCATGCTCTTAATCATCCATTTATTAATCTCAAATCGCCTTAATACATGGAAAAAATTAGTGTTTTTAATAGAGGATTTACCTAGTCAACTAATATTATGATAAAGTACTCATCAAAAATAATGAAAGGATTCTAATACTTGAATATTCACGAGGGAAAGATTTGCGAACAAAGCGGTTTGAATTTGGAGAAGATTAATAACTTCTTTGAATCCAGAAAATCTTCTGATGATCTCCGAGTCGGAATTTATTTCGATGAGAGCTTCTAAGGTGAGGATTTCGATATTAAAGAGGATTTTAACTTGGTAGAGTCTTAGGAGTTCTAGTTACAATCTTTAAAATGTCACAATATAAAAACGAAATCTTCTAAACATTTGTTGGAACCTAAAAAATAAAGAACCCAGAATGAGTTAAACACAATAAAAGCAATCCTTAAGCCTCAAGAAATGATAACTGAAGAATCAAAAGAGATAATTGATGAAGATTCAGATTCATTATGTTCAGATTCGGAAGAGAACTAATATTTTTATTATGGTTAAAATGCAAAACCTGATGAAAGTGAAGACTTTGAATTAAAGCCTGAATAACTTTCAAAATAAGATTAGAGTTACTTGTCGCATTATCCCTACTAAAGATTTCAAAGCCTTATAAATTAGAATATGGCATAAAATCTGCATGCTGATCTAATCAGTTCTTCTTTCATAGAAATTATAGAATCTTCTCGAATGGAGCCTCTTGTAGAGATGGAACAGGTTCATCATATTTCGAGAGATTTTTGTGTTTCAAATAACCCTTTCATTAGAGATACTAAGAATTATTAAAGTAGGATAATATGAATATAATGTATACGTATAAAAGAAATAAAAAAATTCATAAATTCAAAATCATCAACTTTATTTGGATCAATGGGGTTTTGGGGTTTTGGGGTTTTGGGG